ATCTTTATAGCCATAGTGAAAGCAACAATAGATATTTTACCTCAGATCTTGAAAATAAATTAAAGCAAACTTGTACGTTAAAACTGTGAACTCACTGCGAACCAACATATGTATTCCATAACAAAGATATCAGTCACTCACTCACTCAAAACTGTTCAGTCCATTCACATCTGACTGAATCATCTTCCGTGTCCACTTTTCTTTTCTACACACTCGCCATGTTTTTGCTGTCACATCGTATCTACACTGGACGCGACAAAGCATTGCCGCTTATTGAGGAACCCTGATATACACTATATACTGTATACACACACACACTTTTTGTCTTTCAAACAGAGCAGCTCTTTAAATGTCCTCAAACATTCCACGTTTGTTACTTGTTACTTAGTTTAACTTGAAGAAATTACGACAGAAATATATTAAAGCCACATGACGCATGATCTTATATAGTGAATATCACACATGACCAGGCATGTAGGAAGCTCATTTGTGTGTGTGTGTCAGGTGTCATGTGATGATGCTGAGAGGTCAGCTGATCGGAAAGTGACATTTGATGTGACCGAGTCGGAGATGAGCAGCGTGTACAGCCCAGAGGGAACAGGTGACACACACACACACACACACACACTTAAGATATAAAACACTGTAGACATGACATGCAGTGGTTCATGAGCGTCTGAACGTCTGTCAGTTCCAGTGAAGGTGCAGCAGCTGGCCGACTCTCTGCAGCTGATCTCAGGACAGCTCAACTCTGTGTTAGGAGCTTTGGGTTCACTAACACACAAACAGACTCCGCCCCCTCTGACAACACCCCTGCTGCCCCGCCCCTCATGGGCGTGGCCTACAACCCCCTCCCCCTCGCTGGCCAACGGACTCTCACACAGAGCCACAGACTCATTGCAGACGCGCTGGAGCCGCCTGAGCTCAGGTGAGACACACTCACACACACACACACACACATCACCTGCTGCTTCATCAGAACATCATTCCTGTTTCCATAGAAACCAGCAGAGCGCACATGACCTACTCAGGATACACACCACCAAGGTGAGTGTTTATGATTCTGATGGCAGAAACAGTTCTGATTTTACACATTCATATGGGTATGTAGTTTAGTGTCTGATTATTGTGTGTGTGTGCAGTCTGTCGAGTCTGCGTCCGTCAGAGGTCGAGGGTCAGCGGCTGCAGGGTCTTATTGAAGGAAACAAACGCTGGCTAGAGGCTCAACGGAAGAACCGCAACATGTATCCTTACATGCGTATACACACACACACACACAGACACACTGTCGTGTCTTCTTTGCTTAGCAAGCAATAATGACTCGTGACGACTTGAATTTAAACAAAAGAACTGATTTATTGGAGTTTCAGATAGTTGTAAAGGGATGGATTCACTTTTAACAGCGCACACACATTCTCAGTTCACTTCTTCTCAGTGTGCTCTCCATCTGAACAGCATTATGGGCAATGTTTTCTTAAAGGGGAACAGCCCTATAAATGACTATGTAAACTGTTTCTGTTCTTATCATTGAAAACAATGAATTAAACATTATACTAAGCATTTATGACTAATATTAATCTAATTTAAGTCACAACACACTCACACACACACACACACACTCACACTCACACACACACACACACTCACACACACACTCTCTCTCTCACACACACACACTCTCTCTCTCACACACACACACACTCCTGCAGTGAATGCACCGCTCTGTTTTCCTGAGCGTCACACACGCAGTCCTCTGTTCCCGAGCCTCAGAAGCGCGTCCAGCGGCGGTGGGTTAGTTCAGCTCAGCCTCGACGACAACAACCAGATTAAAGTTCATCATTACTGAAGCAGTGTGTTTCTCAGGACGGCTGAAGATCGTCTGTGTGTCTCGTGTTTATGAGCTGTAAGAACTGTGCAGGATTTATATGCTTACAAGCGGTTTCAAAAACCAATGTAGTTTACATTCTCATCTGTATAGCTGTGTGCAATGTGCAGATCTCATTTGTACCATATTTTTGTAAACAATAAATGAATTTAATACTTGATGCAGGTGTTAGTGTTCTCCTGTTTCTGTTGTCATTTTAATGGTAGATATTGTAGGCTAATTTATGCAGCTTCGCACCATTACACTGCATTTTAAGCAGACAGAGCAGTCTTAAGTCTCCTATATAAACTTAAAGCACTGTGTTAAACACTATTCCTTTTGCTGTCATTGAACTGACCTATTTTACCGTCTCCAGTAAACCCAGAACGTTTTCACAGCAGTGTATTTTGATTTCAGCTAGGTTTCATTGCAGTAAAACCTTTAAAAGAAAATACTTATAATCTCAAAATAATGAACTAAAGCATGTGTCCTCATTTGTAAGTCGTCTGCTAAATGACTAAATGTAAATGTGTGGTTTACATATCTGAAATATCAAAAAAAGCAAGTCTGTTTGATGAAAAAGTTGTGAAATTAATAATAAAATCAAAGCAATTTTAAATATTTTGAAAATACCTAAATGACAGACCCAAAACATCAACCTACACTTGTATTGAAGCTTTAGAATATAAACGGGTTTTTTTTTTTTTAAGTTTGAATGGATCACGTGACAAAAACCGTTAAACTGACTGGAGGAGCAGGAGCGCGCGAATCTGACGTGAGGTAAGACGCTTTTCCTGATGATAAACTATAAATTAAGCAAAAGAGTTGATTTACATACGAGAATGATGTCCTAAAATTTAGTTGTACTTAGTTAAGGTATAATTTAAGAAACACGGCTGGAACATTTGTAATACCTCGGGGCGGGTATTAGATTTTACATGAATCAAATGTTTTGAATTCGTAACGGAATTATGCATAAATATCAAAACATAACACAGTTGCTCATGTTTGGCTTCTAGCCGTCTCCGATTCCTTTATAATTACGGGGGAAAAAACTTTAGCGCAAGATCGTCCAGATCTGCTGAAGTCACGATCTGAATCAAATGATTCGCGTTTGATTCTTCGAAACAAAGTCCTATCTCTTTGAATGGGGGTGTAAAATAATGCAAGATACCGACACTGTGCTTTCAAACGTTCAGTCCAGCTTTACTTCTTTTACTGCAGTGGACAACAACTGTAGGAGGAGGAGCCTAT